CTAACAATGCAGGTGGAGCTTTACGTTGTTCGGTGTCTCCATTGAATGCTTTTCTCCATGTATGTTTTTGATGTTTAGAATGTAAGAATCTACGATGACCGAGAAATACATTCTTCTGACAAAGTTCCAAACGCGTTGTATCGGTTCCATCTTCACAAACAGGACACGCACGTTGACCTTTAATGCTATACCCAGATAGATTCCCATATGCTGGAAAATCATTAATTGTGCCAAACAATATCGCCCTCAAATTGAAACTTTGTTTCCTATATCCATCATAAACCTCCACCCTGTTCTCCCACAAAATCTTTAAATCTTCGATCAAAGGTGTCAAGTATACGTCTATGTCATTCCCTGGTTGTTTAGGCCCGAATATTAACATAGATAACATCATGTACTTACGCTTCATACATAGCCATGGAGGTAGGTTATACATCATAAGAATCACAGGCCATGTGGTATGTGAGATACATTGAAGACCATGCGGGTTCATTCCATCAGTAGATAAAGCCAACCGAAGGTTTCTTGCTTCTTCTCCAAAATCAGGATAATCATTATCAATTTTCGACCATTGTGGTGAATCTGCCGGATGTCAATACTTTCCATCAATAATTATTTTATCTGCATGCCAAGTAAGGTGTCTTGCATCGGTTTCACTACGAAACATTCGCCTAAATCTCGGAATTATAGGAAAATACCATAAGACTTTTTCTGGAGACAATTTTTTCTTATATCGAGACAAACCGCATTCAGGGCACTCATTTAACGAAGCATATTTGTTTCGAAACAAAACGCAATCATTTGGACAAGCATGTATCTTATCATAGCTCATGCCAATAGAGCAAAACATTTTTTTGGCCTCATAGGTTCGATTAGGAAGAACATTATCCTCCTGAAGCATATCTCTCATAAGGGCTAATAACTCTGTGAAACTTTTACCTGACCATCCATTGCCCGCCTTTAAGTTGTACAACTTTAATACCGCAGACAGTCTTGTGAATTTAGTGCACCCTTTATACAATGGTTTCTCTGCATCGCTTACCAATCTCTCAAACATTTTGGGACAATCCTGAAGATCTTCTTCAAATGCATCTGCAATCTCTTCGACTCGATCAAAATCATATATATCTGTGTCCTTGTCGTCTGAAGCATAGGTCGTACTACTTTTCTCCCCCGGTTAAATGTTGTCGTTACTTTTTTCACCGTGAAATATCCAACACGTATAACTTCTATCAATTCCATGCATTAGTAAATGTGATTTCAATCCATCTGCGTTAACCCGACCGGCATAACAACAACCCAAGAAAGGACACTTCATTCGACCGGGGTCTTTGGCGTGTTCAACAGCAAACTTAACGAATTCCAATACCCCATTCTCGTACTCTTGTGACAATCGATCGGAAAACATCCATTTTTTATCCATTTTTTTCTACTTATTCAAGTAAACAAAAACACTATAAACGGATTATTCTCTTTTTGTTTGAATTAAACGAATTTTTTCTAGAAATTTGTTTCTAGAGTTAATAACATGGACTAAATAAATATATCTATATAAAAATAATTATGTTTTTTAATTGATCGATACAGATAGAATTTGAACTTGACTTACCAAAGAAAGAAAATGGGCTATTGGTGTCGACGGCGGATGATGTGGCTTTGATGTTCTTCGAATCAGTGATGGTCTTCACCTAACTACACCAATACAAAAGGATCATCAAAAACAAGTTGTATATATATTTAGGTTCAAAATACTAGTAACAAAATACTAGTTTATGGAAAATATAAACATGATAAACAATTCAGAAACCAATTAAAATAACAAAAAAAACCATCATATATATCATCTTTTATATTCCAAAACATAGAACCAAGAATCCAAAAAATGCTAAAAATGCTAAATGCTAAAAATGTTGCTGTTATATATCAAGCCCTACCGAGAATCCAAAAATTAAAATGCATACATATAACCCAGTTTAGACATCAATAGGAGATAAACACATTTGGACATAAATGGATATTAACACATTTTCAAGGATGATAACTCAGTTTGGACATCAATGGAGTTAAACAAATTTTCAATAAAGAACATACCTTGAGAACCGGACGGTGTAGGTGGAGGAAAACAGAGCGAGACGGGGGAGGACGATACGACGACGAACAGTGGAGGACGATTTGAGACGGAGAAGGAAATGAGTTTCGCGAGGGAAAGGGTTTATGTTTTCGTGATACGGTGAATACAAAGGTTCTATTTTTTTAATTCTGACTTATAAGGGTTTAGACAACACTTTCTAAAAGCGCTGGCTAATATGGACCTTAGATAGCGCTTTTGAAAAGCGCTGGCTAACAGTGACCTTTAGCAGCGCTTTTCTATTTTTTTTTAATTTTTTATGACTTTAGACAGCGCTTTCTTAAAGCGCTGTCTAAAGTGGCCCTTTACCAGCGCTTATGATAAAGTGCTTTCTAAAGCAATCCTTTAGCAGCGCTTTTTAAAAGAGTTGTCTAAGGTCATATGTTTAGCAGCGCTTTTACTAATTATTTTATACGTTTTCCGTGTTTTTTTTTAATTCACTTACAGCAGCGCTTTTGTACAAAAGCGCTCTCTAATGTGCGTTGTTAAAACTCACTTTTGGCGTAGTGCTTCATGGAGACTTGTTGAGGACAATAAGACTGACTGCTATCTGGTCGTATTCTAGCCTTCACAACGACTTATTGGAGAATATGAAATTAACTTCTATCTGGTCGGTTCTAGGCTTCGCAGTAATTTTAGGCATTGAACTGTTATCTGGTCGTATCCAGGCTTCAACGGTTTGAAGAAATTAAGTTGTTATCTGGTCGGGTCCAGGTTTCGACTTGAATATGAGGTATACCGTTATCTGGTCCAGTCCAGGCTTTGGTGTCATAGGTTATACTATCATCTGGCCGGGTCCAGGCTTCATAGTAATTAATAAACTGCTATCTGGTCGGACTCCAGGCTTTACAGTATCTTTAACTGGATAAGAATCAGAAAATCTTAGGGTCGATTTAACTGAACCAAAGAAAGTATCTACCAGAAAAGAATCAGTAATAAATCAATGGTCGATTTGAACGGAACCAGCAGAGGTCTTGATTTATCTTTGACTGGATAGTAATCAGAAAACTCTTAGTGTCGATTTAACTGAACCAGAAAAAGGTCTTGGATTGTCTTCAACTGGAATAGAAATCAGGAAAATCTTAGTGTCGATTTAACTGAACCAGAGAAGGTCTTGAATTAACTTTGACTGGAATAGAAATCAAAAAAATCTCAGTGTCGATTTAACTGAACCAGAAAAAGGTCTTGGATCATCTTCAACTTGAATAGAAATCAGAAAAATCGTAGTGTCGATTTAATTGAACCAGAGAAGGTCTTGAATTAACTTTGACTAGAATGGAAATCAGAAAAATCTTAGTGTCGATTTATCTGAACCAGAGAAAGGTCTTGAATTACACTGTCTATTATATATACTTTTTTCAAATAAAATCAGTTAATCCATACATAATCTATCTTTTTGAGTGCCTTTACAAATGATTAGAAATATATCATTAATTTATTGCAATTGCCATTGCAAATACTAATATAAATTTGGGGAAATAACAATGTTATAAGTGAGTCTGGATTTTTGTTTATACAATTAAGTGACTACAAAACGGTTATACTTTGGTTGCTCTTTTTAGGAAAACATAGTTTTCTTCCTTTCTTTCCCAAAATATACAGTTTCTAACATCTAATCATTAACCAAAACTGTTGTTATTTACTAATCATTAATTAGCCTCTTTCTCAATCTCAAAAGTTTATCCTGTCATTCTCTTCACACAAAACAATGACCTTAGAAGCTGTGGTTTTTCCATAAAAAACATTCAATTACGGTTTCAAAGATTACTCATATTCATTTGTTGAAACTGTTGCAAGTTTCTAAACAACAGAAGAAGACCTTTATGGAATCATCAATAGGAATTTGAATCATAATATCAATTCGAATTTTGATTCTTCTTCTCCTTCAGTGGTGCAAAATAGTAAAAATTAATGGGATTCTAACTCTTCACCTGAAACATCTAATATTCCTCCTGATTTCATTGTCGAAGGTGCCGCCACACCGGTTAGTCGTAGGCGCAAACGACGTTGCACCATAATTGCAAAAAACGAGGAGGAAATCGAGAGTTAGAGTATTTGAAAGATAATTTAGTTAATTTCTACAATTTCCAATGTCAATACCAGAGTTAGCTTCTGAAGATTCTGAAGATGAGTCAGAAGGAGATTCTGACAGTGGATCTGATTTTGATCCAGATGCTGATGATGATCCAAAATCTGGTGGTGACCATAGTTCTGGAAGGGAAAAATTTGTAGGTGGTAACTCTGAAGGTAGTAGTTCTGGTGCAGTTTCAGAACAAGCTCAAAGACCATAGAGAATCAGACAAAAAACAAGAAGGATTGCATATTTTGACATGTTGCAGGATAATGAAGTTGATTCTGAAGGAGAAGTCGTTCGGTGTGCCATGTTAGTAGATTTTGAACCAGTGAGCATTAAAGAAGCTCTCAAGAAGAAAGAATGGCTGATTGCCATGAAAGAAGAACTTGAGGCAATAGAAAGGAACAAAACATGGAAATTGACTAAGCTTCCAGATAAGAAAAAAGTCATCAGTGTCAGATGGGTTTTTAAGTTAAAGCTTAAGCCAGATGGTTCAATTGGCAAGCACAAAGCTAGACTAGTAGCTAGAGATTTTCTTCAGAAACCTAGGCTAGATTACTTTGAGGTGTTTGCGCCTGTAGCTAGGCATGAAACAATCAGACTGGTGATTGCTTTAGCTGCAAATAGAAATTGGCCTTTGATGCATCTGGATGTGAAGTCTGCATTTCTGAATGGTCCATTACAGAAAGAAGTTTATGTGTCACAACCTCCTGGATTTGTGAAAAAGAATCAGGAAGGGATGATATACAAGTTGAATAAAGCTTGTATGGACTGAAGCAAGCGCCCAGAGCTTGGAATATGAAAATTGATTTGTTTTTCAAGAACCAGAAGTTTCAGAAATGTGAAATGGAATATGGCGTTTATGTGCAACACTCTGATAATAATATGACTCTGGTGTGTCTCTATGTTGATGACATTTTTCTAACAGGAAGCTGCCCAGAAGATATAAAAAAGTTTAAAGAAGTTCTGATGAATGAGTTCGAGATGACATATCTAGGAAATATGACATATTTCCTAGGGATGGAGATTCTGTACTCAAAGAAGGGTATCATTCTGCATTAGTTGAAGTACGAACTTGAACTTCTGAAGAAATTTAAGCTGCAGAATTGTAAAGTTGTTGTGACACCATCAGAAACCAAACAAAAATTAGATTATGACTCTGATGGTGATTCTGTTGATACTACAACTTTCAAACAGTTGGTTGGTTCTCTAAGGTATTTATGCAATACTAGACCTGACATTTTTTATGCAGTTGGATTGTTAGCAGATTCACGAGTAATCCAAAGTGGTCTCATTTCCAAGCTGTTGTCAGAATTCTGAGATATATCAAGGGAACTCTGAAATATGGAGTGTTGTTTCCTTCTGAAAGAAAGACAGAACCAGAATTAGTAAGTTATTCTGATTCTGACTGGTGTGGAGACAAAGTCGACAGGAGAAGTACTTCTGGGTACTTGTTTAAATTTCTGGGAGGTCCCATTTCCTGGAGTTCCAAGAAGCATCCTGTCGTGGCTCTGTCAACGTGTGAAGCTGAGTATATCGCAGGGGCTATATCTGCTTGTCAAGCTGTTTGGCTTCTGAATCTCTTGCATGATTTGAAGGTTGAAGTTGAGGAACCTCTTAAGCTGATGATTGATAATAAGTCTGCAATTGATCTTGCCAAGAATCCAGTGCTACATGGAAGAAGCAAGCACATTGAGACGAAGCATCATTTTCTCAGAAGTCAAGTGCAGAAAGGAGTGTTAGAAGTTCTGCACTGCAACATCCAGAAACAGCTAGCATATCTTCTGACGAAGGCAGTTAAGACATACCAATTTCTTCGCTTGAGAGATGAAATTGGTGTTGTTAGCTTCTGATAGAAAATCTAAATTAAGGGATGTTATTGGAAAGATAATTTAGTTAATTTCTATAATTCCCAATGCTTATCCTTTAATAGGGCCTTTTGGCATTTTCAATATTTAGTATAAATATGCTATCCTAGACTATCAATATTGTACCATACTTTATCTCCTCTATTTGATATACAACAGTAGTCTTTTGTTATCATTCTTTGTTCATTCTTCTTCTTCCACTTCATTGCATTGCACCAACAGAGAGGATAACTCATATTGCAGTTGAGCGTAATCGAAGAAAACAGATGAATGAGTACCTTGTTGTGCTCAGATCCTTGATGCCTCGTTCTTATGTAAAAAGGGTTAGTTTTGTAATATATGATTAAATATGTTTAAAAGTGATAGCAATTTTTATCTTACTATTATTATCATGGTTTAAAATTACAATTCACAGTAATATATTGCTGATGTGGTAATTTCTGCAGCCACATCACATTGTCATTTAAAATTATATGTTTGACTATATTAATTATAAAGTGTATTTAGACAATTTCGCCCATTTTTTTCCAAGTATTTTCATCAAAATTTAAAACTCATGTTAAATGTAATGAAAAGTCTTAATATTAAGTCATTTTCAAATTTATATTTCAAACACCGTGCAATAAAGTATTCATCTCACAATACGCATTGCACCAATTACAATAACAAAATTACATCACATTTGACCGTAATTTAGAATCATAATTCTAAGAGAATTATTCACAATTGTATAAACATGTCAACCATATGTTTTTTTAAAGTTGAATTAAACCCACCATAATTATAATTATAGACAATCATTTTCAATTGCTTAGACATCCCTATTTTAAATATTGTTTAAATTTGTTGAACCATACAAAATATTTAACGTTGATACCAATGGTTTCAAAATCTCAGGATGATCAAGCATCAATAGTTGGAGGCGCAATCAACTTCTTAAAAGAACTAGAGCATATTATCCAATCCATAAAAGGACAAAAGAAAACAATAGAACAACAATCACATGAAAATGGATTCAATAATAGCTCATCATCACCCTTTGCTGATTTTTTCATGTTCCCTCAATACTCCACGTGTGCACCTCAGAGCAACACGTGCTACCCTGCTAACCCTAATCAGTCACGTGCCATGGCAGACGTTGAAGTGACATTGGTTGATAGCCATGTCAATATAAAGATAATGTTGAAGAAACAACATGAACATGTGACGAAGATGGTTGTTGGGATTCAAAACCTTGACCTCAATATTCTTCACCTCAATGTTTCTACTCTCGATCATTTGGTTCTTGTCTCGGTTAGTGTCAAAGTAAATTGACTTACCTTTTTTACTTATTTATTTATCTGTTGAGTATAAAATGAATTTACAAGAAAAAATAATTTTATACATGTCAAACAACAATTGATTTAGTAAAATTAACAGTTTAATTAATTTATAATAATGTTTAAAAATATGAAGTTCTAAATCTAAACTAAAAATATAAACCAAAGTTTTCATCTGTCATGTCATTCTATATCTAGACACTATGAATAAAAAATATTTTACACATACTGTTGCTATTTAATTATACTAATAAAATTGCCAATTGATATTAATAAAACATTAGAAACACAAGTAGTGCACAATAATAGACAAAACTATAAGTGGAAGGCAAAACCGATAGGTTCCACAAACCAACCCTACCAATAGGTATACAAAACAAGCAACTTACCAGACTTTTAATCCTTTTGGTAATGTAAATATGTTTAATTGAAATAGGTAGAGGAAGGGTGTGAACTGAAGACGGTGGATGAAATTGCAGCTGCTATGAATCAACTATCACTGAAAATCCAGGCAGAAGCTGTATTATAATATGAACAAGAGAGAGAGAAATAGAGTTGAAGATTGAAATATGATATACAACAAGGGAGGTGCATATAGGCATGTGCCTCAAAGTTATATAAATTAGGATATTCTTTATTCTATATTTCCTTTTATGTCTTCTTCTCTTTTCTCACTGCAACTACAAATTAAATCTTTGAAGGGACAATCACTTTGTTGTGTAGGCCCATACTTACTCCATGTGTGTATCTATTTGTCAATTATTTGCATTATTTCGAGATCTTGACCTTTGTTAATTTCTTTAGATTTTTTTGTGGGGCTCTTACCATAAAACTCATTTGAAAAAAACATTTGATGTGTCTACCCAAATCGCATATGTTAGAAAAAAACTCATTTGATGTGTCTACCCAAATCGCTGAACTACTTGGTCGAACATCTCACATTTTTTTTCCTAATAATTTTAAATATATCACATTTTTAATAGCTCAACAAACAAAATATGCTGCACAAGGACCAGCCTATCATATGATATGTTAGAACATTGAAACCCAATAATATATATATATATATATATATATATATATATATATATATATATATATATATATATATATATATATATATATATATATATATATATATATATATATATATATATATATATATATATATATATATATATATATATATATATATATATATATATATATATATATATATATATATATATATATTCACTATTATTACTGGTTTACTGGTTGATATTGTTATGATACTTAAACTAGTCACATAAATTAGATATGAAGTTGCTGTTCTTCTAAATCACGCAATTAATATATTGAAAAAGTGAAATGTGTCTAGTAATACAACATTGTTATCAAAGTCGCAAAAATGTTATGTGATATGACAAAATTTATCTATGATAATTTTGTGTGCGTACAATTATCCTTTTGCTCTCTTATCTATATTGAATATAAGACATAGACCAAGTCATTTTTGTCCAATTTAATATTGAATCCTTAAACATATGTTCTGTTTCGTAGGATGAGAAAATTTCATCTAGATCACTCATGACCCTCAATATGATTTGTGGAGTATCCATCAATCATATGTATGGTCATCATGTTACGAACAATGTTTGATTAACAATAAAGTACTTGACTTCGTATCTCGGATTCATAGTAGTTTAACTACAAAAAGAATATTCATTACTGACATCGTATTAACGTCACAACGTGAAAAAAACACATATATATATATATATATATATATATATATATATATATATATATATATATATATATATATATATATATATATATATATATATATATATATATATATAATCTGTTTTTAATATTGGATTTGTAATAAATTGTTTTTAATAAAGATGATATTCAATGTTTTTTAATAAATTTTGTGTTTTCTACTTTTTAATATAGTAAAAGTAATTAGCATCTTAATTACTTCATTAACCAACTAAAATCAATTTTATCAAAGATTTTCAAGGACATATAAGTCATTATAATTCTTAATATCTAATTTTATTTAAATTTTATTTTTTCTGCAATTAATTATTTGTTCAACTCTTTTTAACTTCTCCAGGTATAATCATTGCAGTTTCCAATTTATTTCTTCAATATCCAACATTGGGAATCCTCGTCCATTGCACGAACATTCTTTCTGTTGCACTTCCCCTGGTGTTTCCTCCCTATTTATATGAGATGGCCCTTCATCTCAATTTCTTCCATCCATTCATCTTGTCTGTGATTCTATTACATACCCAAAAATCAATTTCTTCCCTAAACAGTATTCTTCAACAATTTTTCTTTTGTGTTTTGATTTTTTCATATTGTTTGATCGAAATCCTAAACCATCATATCAAGATTAGTCGCTATTTTAGCTTACATAGAACGAACATATATTGACTTTTTCCTGAAATTAATCCATTCTTTTTTATGTTTGTAGAAGCAGAAGATGAGTAGGAGTGACTGTGTCAAGGACATTAACGACACAAAGGAAACATGGAGATTGGTTGTTCGAGTCCTTGATTCTTGGAGCGTTATTAACAGCAAGGGCGTCGAGCATTTGGAGTTGGTTATCATGGATGCAGCTGTAACATTTTGCAAAATTTTCAAATCATATAATATATTGTGAAAATTAACGTTATATGTTATTGATTAGATTTCTTATGTCATCAGGGTGATAGGATTCAAGTATTGATTTGTGCTGACCATACACCAAAATGGAAGGAACGAATTGAAGAAAATATGACTTGCATAATCAACAATGACACCGTGTTTGATAATGATTTTCAGTGGAAGCTTTGTGATCATTCGAAGAAGTTCGTGTTTCTTAGTGGTACGAATTTTAAAGCTATTGACATTCCGAACCTTCCTCCTAAAAGCTATTATTTCAAATACTTTTCGGATATCCTTGAAGGAAAATGTCAGCTTAACAGACTTGAAGGTATGATAATATGCATATGTTTTAATTTTTCTATGGGGAATTTATTAACAATGATTATTTTAGATAGTTATTTATACTGAATTTTTCATTCTTTTTTATAGATATAATTGATGTTGTACGAGAGATCAACAATTTTCAGAATAACACCCTGGAAAAAAAGACATTTGTTTCACTGAATTTGAAAGACCTCACATAATATATTTCATTCCTACCCTTTTCAGGATAATACTGTTATTTAAGTTCCAATAGTTCATATGAATATGTTCTTAATACGTATACTTTATGTACTCAAAATAATGATAAAGTAGTCAACTGCACCACAGTGGTGCTATTATAATTGTTCCGACTCATGCAATGATCAAGGATTCACAAGGTTTACAATGTTTCATTTTTGTGTGTTTATGTCAATTATGTTTCAATTTTAACTTTTTTATTTTGTTAAAATTTCAATTTTAAATGGATGAAGTGGTTCTAAGTTACTAATTAATGAAGACATTCCAGAGATCACTGAGTTTTTTTCTAAGTAATACCATTAACCATTATTATTGTTCAGTTAGACTTTTTTTATTGACAATTGTTTACATGAATTGAGTTATAATGTTACAGGTTACCTACATATGAGCAGACTAAAAAGCTTACTAAATCCTCAAAATTAATTTCTCTTCGGTCTGGTGCATCCCAGTACACTACAATTGAAAGGTTTGTTCATAAGACCAAGTGCATCTCTTTAAGTGAGCTTTGCAAGGTCAAACAAGTATATTCCAACATATAGTATTGAATAACAATTATAATTAGTTATAATTTAATGACATTTCTAATAATTTTTAACTGATTATTTTTTAGGATATGTTATGCATCACTGTAGCAACTACTCAGAAGTTTTCTATTTCAAAACATGATTGGTTTTATTATGGATGTACCAAATGCTCTTTAAAGGCACTTGATTTGAACAAACTGTATTAATGTTCATGTAAAGAAAATGTTACACAAGTTATACCAAGGTTATATGATTTAAGTGTATTTTATGCACAATTCTGTATTCGTTTCTTATTTTTTTGATAGTTATATTGAGTCATCTCCATTATATAAATTTTATATAAAAAGGTACAAAGTCGACACATAAGTTGTTGATGGGGAATCAAAGTTTCGATTTGTGTTCTGGGATATTGATTGTACTGATATTCTTGGAAAGTCTGCTAATGATCTGTATAAATCAATGCAGGAGGTATAATATCGTTTATTTGACTATTTTTAAAATTTCACAGCTTTGCATTGTTACTTACATAAGAAGCCATTTTTTAGCAAGGTGAAGATGACCCTATGATGTATCCTGATGAGCTTGACATGCTTTTGGGTAAACAAATGCCTTTAAGAGTGAAAGTCCAACCAATATTTGGGCAAGCATCTGTTTGGAAAATGTCAAAAGATGAAGAGTTTATCAACCATATTGAAAAAGATTATTATACTGACGAGGTTTGAACAGATTCGTAAAAATACACACAAGTTTACAATAATATGGATATATTGTTGTAAATTATCATACTATTTGTTAATGTAATTTTTTAATATGCAGGAAAATAATATATCTTTGACCCAGATTCCAGTCAACGATCCTGTCGAGGCTTCCATGGTTTGTTTAATACTTAATGTCAAATCAAAATATATTTCTTTACTTTCCATGCATTTACTGAATTTTATTAATATTGTTCAAGGAGCCTTTATCTGCATTTAGAGAATGTGATCCTGACAAAATATTGGTCGACACACCGACCAAGGATGACTCAGTTTCTAATGATCTTGAAAATTCTAACTGTAAATTTTATGGAGCTATGCAATTTTCAGGAACGAAGTCATCAAAGAAAGTGAAGGTCGAACTAAAAGATTGAGGATTCACATGGGATTCACACGCTGATAAAATTTGTATTTCCATTAGTTTTTATGTTTTATGCAAATTGTTATGTTTTGAACAACAATTTTATCATTATTCATTTGTTTCCTGTCAGTTTTAACAATTTCCATGCAATATATGTTTGCATTATTATTAATGAATTTCTTATTTCTCTTTCAACACTGGTTTCTATTGCATAAGTAGATTAAGCTTACAATATATAATTTTTACACAATATCAAAAGTATAGATTCATGTTACAGTGACTTAATTAAATCATTTGTAATCATAAAACATTTGATCATAATATTATCCACCTCTAATTAGTGAATTCTATAAATTGGCATTTTACTAAGTACACATGATAACAACAAATACTTTAGTTGCCAATCTCAACAACAGTTAAGAACTATTTTCATTTCCAATTGTTATTAGCCTTATGCATTTTTTTTTCTTTTTACTGAAAAACAACTTCATCAACATTGTTATGTTTCAACTGGCTATGCTTATTCATTATTTATAAACTAAATTTGCATTTTATTAATATAAACTCAGTATATATGCATAAAAGATACAATGTTGTAAATATACATCAAGATTATACACTAATTTTGCATTTTATTAGTATCAACTCAATATTTATACATAAAAGATGCAGTGGTGTGTATCAACAT